ATAATTTCATCTATGATAATTGGATAGACTGGAATAGCACAACGATAAAAAATAAACTTTAACAAATTAAAGAAAACATATAAAGTAGATGTTGCCTATTCTTGTTACAAAAGGCCTTGTCTAAAATCTCAAGCATCTACTTCGTTCTTCTTACAAGAGGTGAATCCACTTTACTCTCGATTTGCAGATGTAGTGCCAGAGGAATTTCTAGATGAGCTATGATATTCAGCTTAAACTATGTATATTTGTATGCATATTGCTTCACATTTTACTCATGTTTCGTATATTTCGGATGTGTAATGCAATAATTTGTGTTAATTCGTGGTATTTTTATGTTTAGCAATCATCCGGAGGCAATGCGAGACGAATGTGGGCGATTTGAAGAAAAAAGGGAACGAAATGGAAAAATGCCACAGTGTAGCGCCCAAGCTAGCATAGGGCGCAACCTGTGGCGCAGAAATCAGAGGCATCAAAATCCCCAGTGCCAGGGCGAGCGTCCCACGCTACCCTGGACGCTGGGTGACGGAAAAGTTTTCTATCTCGACCGGGACAAGGTTATTTCGACCCAAGACACCCCAACTCGTATAAAAGCAAGTCTAAACCTATTTTGGAGGGAGAGACGCCACTTTGAGAGGAAAATACACACAGAGAATACTCAGGAGCAAGGATTCTCAGTTTTTCTTCATCTTTCTTAGCATTTTCAACTATTCAACCCTTGTAAAATTGTTTAGATTTTATCATGATTGGCTAAAACCCATAAGTTCTGGGGTTGTGAATTTAGCCATGAATATTATTGTTTGAATTTGACTAAACCTTGATGATAATTTGCTAATATATGATTATTTTTTTAATTCTGTGATTAACTGTTTAATTGTCTGGCCAACGGTTAGGTTCTCTTTACCATCTATGCTATGCTTGGGAAAGCTACATCTATATTAGAGGAAAATTGAAGAGGGCATGATCTTAACTTTGAGGGAGGGGGGAGGGGCATGATCTTAACTCTGAGGGGGAGCGGATTTGTGGTTAGGATAGGAATATACCTAGTCACCATGCTCAATTTGAATATCGTAATCTTAATGCGTTCTTAATAGATTGATTCCATAGGAATATAAGCGTTAATCTATTTTGAATGGGCGAGTAGTAATTCGGAAGAATACTACGAGAGCAATTATTCGATTAATTAGCAACCACGAGCGCATTGTATGAAAGGAAAAGTTAATTAGAACGCAGTAGAATTGATCACAACACTGGAATATTCATCTCTACTGAATACACAACAATTATTTTCTGCTTGATTAATTAGTTACTTGTTACATCCATTGCTTAGTATAATCACACTTTGAAACTCTATTGACTCGACTGAATAACAATCTTGATAAAATTAGTAGGTAGTTAATACAAGTCTCTGTGGGTTCGACACTCGACTTATCATTTTATTACTTGTACGACCACGTGTACTTGTGTGTGAATTTGGGAGCAAAATATTTTTGGCGCCGTTGTCGGGACTTAGAAATTAGTTATTTTTCTAGATTAGACTTTTACTTTTTGTCTATTCAAGTTTTTAAATTTTAGTTTAGTTTAATATTTCATTATCTTTGTAGACATGACATCTTAGAATGAGAATTTGTTGAATGTTTCTTATTTTTATTTTGGTGATCCTTGTCCATATTTTGGAGGACCGCACTTGTGAATTTCAATCTTTTTGTAATGTGTGTGGTTATGGTTGCCATTTGGATGGCTATCCTATTCCTTTTTTTCTTCTTTGTGCTCTTATTATGATGATTTTTCATCAACAATATAATAAGTGAAGCTTTGAAGGACGGGAAGGGCATTTCCGTAGATATCAAGTTCTTTATGGCTAAATTGAAAACTATCTTTTAACCGTGAAAGAGAAACACGTGTTTCTCTAGTTACAGATTAATGACACATTTCGAGGAAAAGACTCAAAAGATCCCTTATCTTCGGTGGTGGGTTTATTATTGTCCGTTAAATATAACACTTAACAAAGATAATCCTTTATTTTTGCAAAATGTGGACACTTTTGGTCTTGATCAACTTTCATCATTAAACACTAACGGTTGGTTCTAACGTGCGTTTGCACCTTTCATAAACCTCTACTTTCATTTTAGTCTTTATCTTTCAATGCCAAGATATGAAGATAATATGCATTATCCATAAAAAATACCGTGGGACTAGAGAAGCAGGGAACCGCAATCAAAGTTCCATGTGAAATTTATTGACAAATGATAACACTAAAAAAATAATTATGTCAACTTTGAAGAAAGTTATTTCCAATGTTATTACTATATTAATAGGAATTCTAGTAGCTAGAATTCATAAGCTTATTTAGTTGCTCTGAAATGAATAAATCGACATTACTTTGATAGTTTGGTGTAATAATCTAACGAAGATCCGGTAGCAAGATTACCGGCAGATGAGCTCCTCTTAACAAGAAACTTTTCGGGATCCGGCGTCGACGCGCCACCACCTCCTATTAATTCTGCCTGAGTCAGGTACGAATAGACCTTAACATATCTGAGAGACTAGATTTCGAGGTAGCTCCATGTGGAAAGGACTGGACATTGAACTTCGCATATGAGTTACACAGGCTTGCCGAAGTTGACAAATATTGGCGATGGAAAAGGTTGGGAATTGCCGAGTCGGTGAAACATAAAAGTCTTTTGCAAAGGGCCAAATATACTCCTCTACTTTCGAAAATGGTCTAAGAATATCCCTCATTATACTATTGAGTTATCCATACCCCTCCAGTTATACTTTGGGTTCAAATATATCCCTCATTTAAATGGAGGGACACGTGTCATCGTCATGTTGGTCAATTCTAAATATCTCCTAATTAATTAAAGAGACTCATTACCCATATCCAAAAAATATTTTTTTTTTGTAAACACTTAAAAAAACTAAAAATATTTTTTTATTAACAACTGAAAAAAACGAAAATATTTATTTTTCCAGTTTTAACAAAAATACTGCTTTAAAAAAACTGAAAAATATTTTCTAAAATAATATTTTTGTAAAAACTGAAAAATAATTTTTTAAATCAATTAAAAACTGGAAAAAACTAAAATATTTTTAACTAAAAACTGAAGAAAAAAATATTTTTTTTTCCAGTTTTTACAAAAATATTGCTTTAGAAAATTACTTTTTAGTTTTTTTTTAATTTTTACAAAAATATTGTTTTAGAAAATATTTTTCAGCTTTTTTTAAACCAGTGTTTTTGTAAAAACTGGAAAAACAAAATATTTTTGTTTTTTTCAGTTTTTAGTAAAAAAAAAACAGCTTTTTTCAGTTTTTACAAAAAAGAATTTCTTTAAAAAAAATGATTTTCAGCTTTTTTTTGTTTCAGTTTTTACAAAAATATTATTTTAGAAAATATTTTTCAGTCTTTTTAAAGCAGTTTTTTTTGTAAAAACTGGAAAAAAAATATTTTTATTTTTTTCAGTTTTTAGTAAAAAATTTTTTTAGTTTTTTTAAGTTTTTACAAAAAAAAAAAAAAAAAAAAAAAAAAAAAAAAAAAATCGGGTATGGGTAATGGGTCTTTTTAATTAATTAGGAGATATTTAGAATTGACCAACATGATGATGACACTTGTTCCTCCGTTTAAATGAGGGGCATATTTGAACCAAAGTATGACTATAGGGGTATAAATAACCCAATAGTATAACGAGAGGTATTCTTCGACCATTTTCGAAAGTAGAGGGGTATATTTGGCCCTTTACCATTTTTTAAAACATAAAGGTCAGCTATCGTATTACTATCTGGAAGGAGCACGCTCACGTGCAAATCATGTGCAGAATAGCTATTAAAATTAACGTTGAACGTTGGCCCAATACCAAAAGTGTACTTTTTGCAAAGATAAAGGATTATTTTTGTTCACTGTTATATTTAAAGGACAAAAATAAACTCATGCCCAAAGATAAGGGATCTTGTAAGTCTATTTCTCACACATTTCCAACCCTTCTCCATCTTCCTCTTATTCCAACTTTTCCCCTTCTCCACCTTGCTCTTCTTTGTCCAGTGAGAGGAATGCTCCAGAGACGATGGGAGAAAAGAGCAATTTTCCTGCGGAGGTTCGTTCTTTCTTATTGCTTCTCCATTTTTGCCTTTAGTCAACCTAGAAAAATACATCGTCTTTTCCCTTTAGTCAACCTAGAGAAGACCTGGAAAAAAAAATGTTCCTTTCTTTCATTAGCCGGCAACCTCACTTTATACACCACTGTCTCCTCTTCCGCAGTCGCCGACCTTTCTGTTGAGAGTAACAAAACTTAAAGCAAGAGCTGTACTTTGTATTATTTATAAATTGGTTAGTCAGTTAAGTAAGTAGTTAGTAGAGAGGTTAGTTAGTTGGTGACAGCTAAGCATAGATGATGTATATATTAGTCACGTGTACTTCATTTTCTTTTTGAGCTTCAATGAAACAGTTCCACAACAGAGTCTTCTTCTTCTTCTTCTTCTTCTTCTCTTCTTTTTCTATCTCTGCATGTCATCTTCTTCATCTCTCTTTCTCTTAATTCTTCATGGTAACAGAGCAAAGAGCTATGGATTGTAGCTCATAATCGATTCGATCTAACATCTGCTTTGCATTCTCTGAATTTTCTTCTCAAATTCGTTTTTTCCAGTTCAATTTCTTCATCGAAACCCTAATCTACTCAACAATGGTGGTAGATGATTTAGAGTTAGAAAATCCAACTACTATAACTGATAATTCTCATATCTCATCTGATGATGAATTTGAAGAAGGAGTTACAGTCGATGCTACTCATCCTCTGTATCTCGCTCCTGCAGATACCAGTGGGATTTCTCTCATCTCTTTTCAACTCACCGGTATGGACAACTTTTCGCTGTGGTATCGATCTATGAGAATTGCTTTGCTCGGTCAGAACAAGCTCAGAATTATGGATGGCAAATGGAAAAAGGAATGATTTCGTGAAAAGTATTGGTACCCGTGGGAAAGGTGCAATGCAATTGTGCTTTCATGGTTAATGAATGCAGTTGCTCCAAACCTAATCAGTGGAATTGCCTATGTCACCAATGCACATGCAGTATGGATGGATCTATAAGAGCGATTTGATAAGGTAAATGATACTCGATATTAATATTTGCACAGAGAAATTGCTACTCTCAGTTAAGGTACTTCCTCTGTTTCTGTTTACTATTCCAAGCTTAAAGATCTTTGGGATGAAGCTGAGGCACTAGTGCCTAGTCCTGGTTGTGATTGTGTTAAGTCTAGGGATTTCATTGTGTATTTGCACAAACAAAAACTTTATCAATTTATTATGGGCTTGAATGATTCCTATTCACACGCACGCAACCAAATACTTATGATGAAGCCAGTACCCTCTGTAAATCAAGCTTATGCTATGCTAGTTAGTGATGAAAGTCAAAAAAATGTAGCAGCCACATCTGGCATTCTAGGTCCTCTACCTAATGTACATGCTGGTCACTATGAATCTACAACATTTTATGGTTCTAAACCAACTGGAGGTCAGAAATTCAGAAAATATTATAACATACAGTGTGAGTTTTGCAAGCTTAAGGGACATAACAAAGAGAATTGCTATAAGATCATTAGCTATCCACCTGACTTCAAATACAAAATGAAAGGGGGAGCACCTACCACTGCCAGAAATACTTACAATGTGTTTTCTGAGACTAACAATGTTATAAAGAATTCCACAACCCAAATGTGTGTGACTACAGGCTGTATTCTAGAAGCATCTCACATGCACACTATAGAGGGCAATACTGCAGGTAATGCTGCAATTTCATCTGCATCAACGAATCAGTAACTCTCACAGGCTCCATTAACTCTTACTAGGAACCAATATGATCAAATACTTCAGTTTCTCAACAAGGCATCCAACTCTTCATCTACTGCCAATGCTGCAGGTATAAGTACTGCATTCTTAGCTACTGATAATATTCAAGAGTGGATTATTGACACAGGTGCAACTGATCATATGGTCTCTGATCTTAGCTTGTTAACCTCATTTAATACAGTTGATCCTCCTTACTCTAAGAAGGTAACCTCATTTAATACAGTTGATCCTCCTTACTCTAAGAAGGTAACCTCATTTAATACAGTTGATCCTCCTTACTCTAAGAAGGTATTCTTACCTAATGGTGATGTTTCATATGTTAAGCATGTTGGTACTAGTGCTATCTCAAACAAGAGTGTTATCAAAAATATGCTTCATATACCACAATTCAAATTTAACTTGATGTCTGTATCAAAGGTAACCAAAGAGCTGTAGTGTTTGGTTGCCTTTTATCCTGATTTTTGCATATTCAGTATCTCTTCAGTGGGAGGGTGAAGACGATTGGTAGAGAAGATAAAGGTCTTTACATATTACCCTCTTGGAGCTCATTAACTGACAATAAGCATACTGCAGAAACATCACCAGCAGCCACACAGAATAATGATATGTTCACTAAGAGAACACCTACAAATGTGGATCTCAAGCTATGGCACAACAGACTCGGTCAAGTGTCTTCCTCAGTTCTAAACAAACTATTTTCAATAAAGCAGGAGAGCTGTATTTCTGTTGTAAAAGACTGTTCTGTTTGTCCATGTGCTCGGCTGACTAGACTACCTTTTCCCAGTAGTACAAATAAAAGTACAGCTTCCTTTGACTTACTACATTTGGATGTATGGGGACCCTATAACACTGTAACTATTAATGGTAGTAGATATTTCTTAACTGTAGTGGATGATTACTCTAGAATGACTTGAATTTTTCTTTCAAAACTCAAGTCAGATGTATGTGTTGTCCTACATGATTTCCTGATGTATGTGAAAACTCAGTTTGACAAACAGGTTAAGTATGTTAGGACTGATAATGGATCTGAATTTGTTAATTCTGTCTGTCATACTTTATTCAAAAACCTTGGCATTATCCATCAAAGAATCTATGCTTATACTCCTCAGCAAAATTGAGTTGCTGAGAGAAAACATAGGCATATTTTAGAAGTGTGCAGAGCTCTAAGGTTTCAAGGTTACATTCCTTTAAAGTTTTGGGGGCACTGTGTGTTGGCAACTGTTTATCTCATCAATAGGATATCATCCTCAAAGCTAGGTCATAGGTCTCCTTATGAGTTATTATACAGGAAGAAGCCTTTGCTTGGGCACCTCAGGGTCCTAGGTTGTCTGTGCTATGCTAAGAATTTCAATGAGACTGATAAGCTTCAACCGAAAGCTATCATTGTTGTTCACATGGGCTACTCTTCTTCACATAAGGGATACATTTTTCTTAACTTGTCAACTAACTCCTTTTTTGTTAACAGAGATGTAACATTCAGGGAGGATATCTTTCCATTTCAACAATTCTCCTCTCACAAACAGTTTGTGTTCCCTGATACATCTTCTTCTGTCTTACCACATATTACTGATAAATGGTATGCTCAAGATACTTCGGTAGGATCCAACCAGAACTCTACTGCACATGACTCTTCAGTCTTACCACATGCAACCTCTTCCTCTCCTAGCAGCACTGACTCAAGTGCAAGCTCATTACCAGCTGCTACATCACTAGGTGTTGATGTCTCTCAAGTTGGTTCTCCTGCCCTTAGGAGATCAGCAAGAGACAAGCATCCACCATTATGGACGAAGGACTTTGTTTCTCTTCATGCCAATCAATACACTCCTTATGGCCTAACAATCTATATGTCCTATGATCACCTGTCTCCTCATTATCAGGCTTTCATTGCCTCTTCCTCTTCTGAGGTTGAGCTTGTTTCTTATGCTGAAGCAATCAAGGACCCCAGATGGGTAGCTTCTATGAAGTTTGAGATTGATGCTTTAGAGGATAATCATACATGAGATGTTGTGACCTTACCTCCTGGCAAGAAACCTATTGGATGCAAATGGATGTACAGGATAAAGTACAAAGCATCTGGTGAAATTGACAGGTTCAAAGCCAGGCTAGTTACTAAAGGTTATAACCAGAGGGAAGGCATTGACTATCAGGAGACTTTCTCTCTTGTTGTCAAGATGGTTACAGTCAGAACAATTCTTTCCATTGCTGTTGTGCAACACTGGAACATTCATCAAATGGATGTGTCAAATGCTTTTCTCCAAGGTGAACTTCATGATGAGATCTACATGGACTTGCCTCAGGGCTTTGTGAGTCAAGGGGAGCAGCAGATATACAGACTCATCAAATCCTTATATGGTCTCAAGCAGGCCCCTAGACAGTGAAATGCAAAGCTTTCAGAGGCTGTGTTACAGTTTGGTTTCACTCAGAGTCAACATAGCCATTCTCTGTTCATAAAAGGATCAGTAGCTGACCTTGTACTCATCCTAGTCTATGTTGATGATATGCTAATTACTGGCAACAATCTAGCATTGATTAGAGAAGACAAATCTTCTTTGCAGCAGGCCTTCAAAATGAATGACCTAGGAGAGTTAAGATACTTCTTAAGGATTAAATTTGCGATGTCCAAGTAGGGAATCTTAATGCAACAGAGAAAATACACTCTAGAACTTATCTCTGAGCTAGGACTGGGAGCAGCAAAGCCAGTAGCTACACCACTTGAAACAAATGCAAGGCTCACTACAAAAGATTTTGATAATCACCTGACTGGTCCAAGCCATGGGGGATGAGTTACTATCTGATGCAAGCTCTTATCAGAGGCTTATGGCAAACTACTATACTTAACCATAACAAGACTAGACATTGCATTCAGTGTGCAAACCTTAAGTCAATTTCTGCATCAACCAAAGAAATTACATCTTGAAGTTGCCCTAAGAGTGGTCGTGTATGTAAAAACCATCCTGGACAAGCAGTACTTCTATGAAGTAAAGCAGATAAAAGGATCACAGCCTACTGTGATGCTGATTGGGCAGCCTGTCCACATTCAAATCTGTAACAGGCTTTCTTGTCAAGTTTGGTGATTCACTAATATCTTGGAAGTCCAAGAAATAAAGCACCATACCTAGAAGCGCAGTTAAGTCAGAATATAGGATCCTAGCCTCTACAACTGCAGAGTTAACATGGATTTTTGGGCTGTTCAAAGAAGTTGGAATAGAGGTGGAACTTCCAGTTGAGGTTCACATTGACAGCAAAGCAATAATGCAAATAGCAGCCAATCCAGTGTTCCATGAGATAACCAAGCATATAGAGATTGACTTCCACTTGGTAAGAGAAACAAATACAAAAGGGGCTGATAAGAACTGAGTACATTCCCACGAAAGAGCAACCAGCAAATTTGCTAACCAAAGGGCTAAGTAGAGTTCAACATGAATATCTTTGTTCCAAGTTAGGGATGCTTAATGTGTTTGCACCACCTAGCTTGAGGGGGAATGTTGAGAGTAACAAAACTTAAAGCAAGAGCTGTACTTTATATTATTTATAAGTTGGTTAGTCAGCTAAGTAAGTAGTTAGTGGAGAGGTTAGTTAGTTGGTGACAGCTAAGCATAGACGGTGTATATATTAGTCACGTGTACTTCATTTTCTTTTTGAGCTTTAATGAAACAGTTCCACAATAGAGTGTTCTTCTTCTCTTCTTATTCTATCTCTGCATGTCATCTTCTTCATCTCTCTTTCTCTTAATTCTTCACTATTCTATTATTAAACAACTACTATAGGAGGTTGCGCCATCATCATTAACAAGTGATCCCCCAACTTATTATCTTCCAAACTCGCTCTACACCTCTCCACCTCCATCTCCTACCGTCGATCCACCACCGCAGAAGATATCGTGGCCATTGGTAAGACATGCACCTCGGAATATTCCTCTGAGGTTGGTGACTCGTGAAAATTCTCAACCTCGGCCTCCTAAGATGAGAAGTGGTTATGTCCCGAGACAAAGAGGCCGAGTTTTTTCCCGAGGAAGTTGTTCTAATGTGGGTTTTGTGTAACGGAAAATGGAAAATGAAAGGTCTCGAGGTGTTTATTTTGGAAAGTGGCCACATAACAATAAGCTGCAGATACACAATGTGATACCTCTCACTTGGTCACAATATAATACTACTACTGTCATGATCAAGAATATTCCGTACTCTTACATGTATGTGATTTTGTTTGCCCTTTTTTGTTTCGTTTGCTATCATTTACTTATTTTCATTTTTGGAAGTTTATTAATTGTAAATAAATAAAAGATGGTCGAAAAATTGACAGAATTCTCTTTGGAATTGAGAGTGAAACTCTGATGGATTTTGGTAGAGGAAACTAAGAGGCTTTGAAGAAAGATGTTATACAAGAAGTCATGTTTTCTTATGTTTCTCTTAAAAATGGAAAAGATAAGAACAACTATTTTGAGAATTTACTGGGTGCTTTCATTAGTTTGATGACAATGTGCTTACTTCTATTTTACTTTCTTTTCTTTTTCTATCGCAGTACATTCTTAAATAATGTATGGTCAATTTAGACTCTAATTTGTATCAGATTTTTGTCATTTTGTGTTGAAATGTTAGTTAGGGTGTTAGAGGGTACAGCTGAATGTCAGCTGTATNTAACAGAAAATGAAGAGAATCACTTTCTCCTCTGTATCTGCGTAACTGCTTCTTCATTTCCATAATTCAGCATCTCATTCTAGATCTAGGATTTCATCATGGTATCAGAGCACACGTTGAAGATCCACACATCGTTATCAAATTCTTAAAGTCTTAGCTGCATCCAGTAATTGAGTTGGAGCAAGTTGAAGCAATTTTTCGATATCTTTAAAACTAGGGCTTAATCGACAATCAACGATTGCATTTCCTCTGTTCTTCTTCATCTAAGCTCGATTATTGTTCAGCAATGGCGATCGATAATGAAGAAATTGATGCAAGTGCAGTAACAGTCGGAGGAGGTCATATCTTAATTGATCAACATCATCCACTGTTCCTTCAACCATGCGATACCCCAGGTAGTTCTCTAATTTCAGTCAATTTAATTGAACCTGAGAATTATACACTGTGGAGTAGTACAATGCGTGTGAGTTTACTAAGAAAAAGTAAGCTAGGGTTTGTGGATGGTAGATACCTTAAGGAAAAGTTTGATATAACTCTTCATGAATTGTGGGAAAAGTGTAATGCCATAGTACTCTCATGGATCATGAATTCAGTAAGTGCTGAATTGCTAAATGGCATGGTGTATGCCTCAAGTGCTCACAATTTGTGGATGGATCTCAAAGAGAGGTTTGATAAGGTCAATGGCTCTCGTGTGCTGTATCTCCACAAACAGATTGCCACTTTGACTCAAGGAATATCCTCTGTGTCAACTTATTTTTCTAAGTTGAAGGAACTTTGGGCAGAGTTTGATGCTCTTATTCCTTGCCCCGGGTGTGGCAATGAGGAGTCAAAGAAGTATGTTGAGCATTTCCAATACCAAAGGCTATTATAGTTTTTGATGGGGTTGAATGAGTCCTATTCACAGTCTAGTAACCAAATATTGAACATGCTACCCATACCTTCTATTAATAGAGCTTATTCCATGATTATTTTTGAAGAGAGTAGAAGATCTATGTGTCAGTTGAAGCAACTGAGGGAACTGCTTTGTTCAGCAGAAAAAATATAGGTATACCAAACAACAACACATGTCTATTCAGTGGGAAAGGTCATAATAACTCAAGAAGCTCTACAGGAGGAAATAACTACTCTGGTGGACAGGTCTATGCTGGAGGAAACAATTATAGACAGAAAAGGAACTCTCTATATTGTGATTATTGCAATTTTAAGGGACACACCAGGGAGAACTGCTACAAGCTAAATGAATATCCCTTTGACTTCAAGACTAAGAAAAAATTTGGCTCAGGGAATGCAGTACATCATCATGTTAAGGATGCATAAATGATACAGGAAAAAGCCAAGCTGCTACTGCTGCTAATTTTGTAGGTTCTTCACAGGTACAACATAGTACTACAACTGGACAGGGGACTCAGAATGTGATGTTCAACATTCCTCAATTCACTCAAGAGTAGTATCAACAGATAATTCAGCTATTGGGTAAAGGAAGTGAAGGCAACAATACAAGTACATCAGGATCAACATGTATGGCATCTTGTGTAATGAACTCAAAAATGTTGGCTAAGTGGATAGTAGACTCAGGTGCTTCGAGTTACATGGTGCGTAGCCTCAATCTATTGATTAATCCTAAGTTGATTGCTAATAATAAGGGTGGTACAGTTCAACTTCCTACAGGAAACATAGCTCACATAAGCCATATAGGATCCTCCTACATTGTTCAGGGTCAGAGGATTAGTAATGTCCTGCACATACCTGATTTCAAATATAACTTACTCTCCGTCTCAAAGCTAACTAAGGAGATGAGATGGGCAGTGATGTTCTTCCCTGATTTTTTGTATTTTTCAGGAACTCTTCAGTGGACTGGTGAAGGGGATTGGTAGAGAAGATGGTGGGCTATATGTGTTCTACTCCGGAGATGTCAATACAACTGGACTTCAAGTTCCTAGTACAATTCCAAAATTTGTAGTTCCTAAAACACCACCTACTATAAATATGATCACAAATCACAGAATAATAGATGTAGCCTTGTGGCATAAGAGATTAGGGCATACACCTAAAAAGACTTTGAGGAGCATTGCTGTATTTCAGAATTGTGCATGCAAAAACACTACTAAGTCCTGTACTGTATGTCCTTTAGCTAAACAAACCAGGTTTCATTTTCCTTTGAGCACTACTAACACTAATGTATGCTTTCATACATTGCATGGTGATATGTGGCGACCATACAGAGTCCCTACCTATGATGGCAAGAAGTATTTTCTTACTCTTGTAGATGACTACTCTAGATACTGTTGGATATTCTTACTTCCTACTAAGGCAGAGGTGATTGTTGCTCTTAGATCCTTTCTTCTAATGATTCAGAATGTGTTTTCAGCTTCTGTGAAGATCTTTAGGTCAGATAATGGGAGTGAATTTCTTAACTCTCAAGTGGCTGAGTTATTAAGATCTAAGAGAATTATTCATCAAATCTCTTGCATATATACTCCACATCAGAATGGAGTTGTAGAGAGGAGACATAAATATATTTTAGATGTTGCCAGGTCTCTAAGGTTTCAGACAGCTGTTCCTCTTTGATTTTGGGGAGAGTGTATTACCATAGCCGTGTACATCATCAATAGACTACCCTCAGCTGTGATTCAAGGGAAATCTCCTTTTGAAGTTCTACTTGGTCATGCTCCTTCCTTAGAACATATGCGAGTGTTTGGCTATCTTGGTTATGTTACATAGGTGGGGAAGTGTGATAAATTTACTCCCAAAGCAGTCCCAGCTGTCTTCCTGGGCTATTCTATGACACAAAAGGGTTACAAAATGTATGGTATTCATTCCAAGACCTTCACTATCAGTCGAGATGTAGTGTTCAAGGAAGATGTGTTTCCTTTCAAGTTTGCTCATACTACCTCCTCTATATTCCCTGTATTGGATCTTACTTCTGTTCTCCTCTCTTCTCCTGAAAACAAGTCATTCTCTCAGCACTCTCAGCTTTCTCCTTCTACACCTTCTGCTCCTTCATCTTTTTCACCTGGTGGTGAGTTTTCTCTCCACACCACAACAGGTGAAATTGCAACAAGTACTGGTAAAACTTCATCTGCTAGTGATCATGATATTTCAGTGTCTCTACCAGCTGAGCCAAGATTGCCCTTATCTTCACCATTGCCTTCTCCTGAGGCTCATCTTACCAGAAGGTCCAGTAGAGATAACAGACCTCCTATTTGGATGAAGGACTATATCACTTACAACAGAGGAAAGGCTTAGTGCTGCTATCCTATTTCTACCTGTGTCAACTATGATAATGTCTCCTCATCCTTTGGCAGTGCCTTGGCAACTTATTATGCCATTATTGAACCAAAGACATTTGCTGAAGCTGTCAAAGATCCTAAGTAGGTTGTTGCAATGAAGGATGAAATTTCAGCTTTGGAGGATAACAACACCTAGAGTATAGTTGCTTTGCCTCCAAGGAAGATGCCAATCGGCTGCAAATGGGTTTTTAAAGTTAAGTACACTTTTTCAGAAGAGGTAGAAAGATATAAGGCTCGGTTTGTAGCCAAAGGTTACAGTCAACATGAGGTTCTAGATTACACTAAAACCTTCTCTCCAGTGGCTAAAATAATCATTGTGAGGTCTATTCTGGCCATGGCTACTGCCAAGCAGTGGTTCATCTATCAGATGGATGTCCAAAATACTTTTTTGCATGGAGAGTTACTTGAAGAAGTCTATATGGAAGTTCCTCCTAGTTTTGCAAACCAGGGAAGGAAACAGATGGCTTGCAAACTTCATAAGTCCTTGTATGGACTTAAACATGCCCCTAGACAGTGGGAAAAGAAGCTCACAGATGCATTAGTTCAGCTTGGATTCACTCAAAGTCATTTTGAATATTCATTATTTACAAAAAGGGTGCAGACAGAACTGGTACTAGTACTAGTCTATGTTGATGATCTACTAGTGACAGGAAGCAGTCCAAGTTTGATTTTACAAACTAGAAATAATTTAAAGCTCAAGTTTAAGATAAAGGATCTGGGTGAGCTTAAGTTCTTTCTAGGGATAGAGTTTTCCAGGCCAAAGCAAGGGATTGTAATGAGCCAAAGAAAGTATGCATTGGAGTTAATTGCTGAACTGGGACTTGGTGGTGCCAAATCTGCTGGTACACTGCTGGAGACCTGCTCTAAGCTCACCTCTGTTGAGTTTAATAGTTTCATGAGCAAAAGCCCCTCTAATGAAGCTGATACAGAAGACAAAGAACTGGAGAATAATGGTCCTTATCAGAGGTTGATAGGCAGACTTCTGTATCTTACCATGACTAGAATTGATATCTCATATGTAGTTCAGGTACTTAGTCAGTTTATGCACATACCTAAGCAGTCTCACATGGATGTTGCTCTAAGAGTTGTCAGGTACATCAAGACAGCTCCAGGACTTGGTCTGCTGATGCCCTTAGAATAATCTGGGAAACTTAAAGCTTATTGTGACTCAGATTGGGGTGGTTGCTTACAAACAAGAAGATCAGTAACAAGATATGTGGTTAAGTTTGGTGATGCATTGATATCTTGGAAGTCCAAGAAGCAGAAAACAGTTGCTAGATGTTCAGCTGAAGCAGAGTTTAGAAGCATGGCTTCGACTGTTGCAGAATTGACTTGGCTTACAGGATTATTCTCAGAGTTGGGTGTGAAGGTTACTCTGCCTATAGACCTACATTGTGACAACAAAGCTGCAATTCAGATTGCAGCTAATCCTATTTTTATGAACGAACCAAACATATTGACATTGATTGCCACTTTGTGAGAGAAAAGATTGCACAAAGGTTGATCAAGACACATCATGTACCTACCAAAGAGCAACAAGCTGATTTTCTTACTAAGAGTCTTGGGAAAGCACAACACGACTATCTAATATCCAAGCTGAGGTTGAAGGATATGTTTCAACCATCAGCTTGAGGGAGGGTGTTGAAATGTTAGTTAGGGTGTTAGAAGGTACAGCTGGATGCCAGTTGTATTAAGTTAGTGGAGTATTAGTTAGCTAAGTAGACACTTAACTAATAGCTTACTTAGTATATATATACATCAATGTACAGTGTGTTAACCAATTTTAACAGAAAATGAAGAGAATCACTTTCTCCTCAACTACTTCTTGTCAGTATTTTCCTCTGGTACCTTGCCTCCTGAAGTCAACAAAACTGCCTAATCCCTAAATGTCCTAATGCTACTATGTTAAAAAACTTCAGACCCATAGAATTGTGTAACACCATGTGCAAGCTAGCTACTAAGATCATTGTCAATAGAATCAAGCATGTCCTATACAAAATCATTGGGCTAACCCAAGCCAGCTTCCTGGCCAACAGAAGAGCTGCATACAATGCCATAGTGGTTCAGGAGTATATAAACTACTTTTAAAAAATGAAAGGGAAGAATGCAAACATGATCATAAAGGTGGATCTAGAGAAAACCTTTGATAGGCTAGAATGGTCATTTATCAGAGATTCCCTCTTCTTCTTAAATTTTTCCACTAGACTGATCACCCTGATTATGTCTTGCATAACTACTAGCTTCATCTCTATCCTAGTGAATGTGGACCAGACTAGTTTTTTAACCCAACTAGGGGTATTAGGCATGGTGACCATATATACCCCCTTTGTTCATTATATGTATGGAAAGGCTTTCTAGGAATATTGAGATGGCAGTAATGAACAACTCTTGGTTCCCCATCCGCATCAGCAGGGGAGTCCCAAAGATCTCCCATTTGTTTTTTGCTGATGACGTGACTCTCTTTTCCAGGGGTAACAGAAAAACTGCCATGCCATATTAAGTGCACTGTGGGATTTCAATGATGCCTCTAGTTAAAAAGTCAATTTCGAAAAGTCTAAGGTCATTTTCTCTGCCAACCGTGAAGAGGAATGGGCTAGCCAGTGCAGCTCCATCCTGGGGATCAAGACTGGCTCAGCCTTTGGCAAGTACCTAGGCTTCCCCATTTTCTACAAAAGGCCCACTAACGGTGCCAATTCATCCTGGACTAGGGGTGGGCATAGAATCAGAAAAATCGAATTTTGAACCGGACCGAATTAATTCGATATTTCGGTATAATTCAGTATTAATTTTTCGATTATTGGGTATTTCGGTACAGTCTTCGGTATTGTGGTTTCGATATTTCGGTATACCAAAATATCGAAATACCAAATTATTTAAGTATTATCGTGCTTCTTAGTCCTACACTACGAGAACAATGGTGAAATTAAGGAGCTCATTTTGTTAGCTTTAGATCAAATTCAATGAGAAGGTAAATGCCAGAAAGAGAAAGGTTGCAGAAAATAAGACGCAAATTGAATTCCATTACCATGATGTGTATATGAACATTATTCGGTATCAGACATCATATGTTCTAGATTTTGTTTCAACAGAAAAATAAACAAGAGGGTAGGAAGTAGAAGAGAAAGGGTTTAAAGAGAAGTAGAGTATTTCCTCACCTGCTTATTACCAGTTCAGACACAAGAGTTGGCACTCGGTAAAAGCTCATGGTAAAATTACCATTAATACAAGCTTTAAATCTGCCCAACCAACAATATTATGAGAGAGAAATGTGAAAACCTAGTAATATTATTGTAACTAGTAATTACAGCCAGTGCTTGTCACGTTATATAGGGACGGTGCAATACCAAAACCGTACCGAACCAAACAATAGAATACCGAACCGTATCGAACTACTTTGGTACGGTATTTGGTATGCATAATTGATATACCAAACACTGAAGTGCCGAACCTTAATTCATAAATACTGTACCGAAGTACCGAACACCCACCCCGATCATGGACAACCTTAACACTAAGCTCGAAGGCTGAAAAACTAAGTTTCTCAACATGGATGGCCATTCTACTCTAGCTAAAGCTAGTCTGAGTAGCATCCCCAGCCATGTAATGCATTACATTAAGCTGCTCTCTAAAATTACCAACCGAATTGATAAAGTTTAGAGGGATTTTATCTGGGGCATCAATAAGGCTGGCAACTGGGCCGGGACCGTTTGTCCCGCGGTTGGTGAGCTCGTGCCGGTCTCGTCGGTCGATTTTGCCATTTAGGTCCGTTTGGATCGGGCCCGTTTGGCTCACCATGGGACCGGTTGGACCGGTCTCATGGCGTGCCAAACGGGCCCGATAGTTTTTTTTTAAAAAGCGTCGTTGGCCCAACGACAAAATGATGAAAAAGTCTTCAAAAAATAACCATTTAAACCCCCCACCCCCTCCTCCAATTTATTTTTAACCTCAAACTTTTTATTATTACACTTTTCCCTATTTTCTACTATAAATACCCCCTTATTCTTTTATTTTTCTTACAAAATCAATATCAATCTATCAAAATCTCTCTCTAATTTTCTTTAATACTTGCTAAAATTATTTACTTTATAAAAACAATAGTGAAAAAATTGTGAGGTTGCTACAATTTCTTACTTTATAAAAACATAGTGAAAAAATTGTGAAAAAATTGTGAGTTTGCTACTACTGCTTACTTTATTCAAATAAAATAGTCAAAATATATTGAGGTTGTTAGAATTTGTGAAATAAATGTGAAGTTGGTGAATTGGAGTCTTCAAGTCT